CTGACACTAACTACAGCTATCACTGTGTCTATCGGTTCATTTTCTTTGATCGGACTTTTAAATGATTTGATGGATATTTCTGGGTGATTATCATTCATATCTGTCACGGAGATTTTTACTTTACACTGCCCTGATAAACTGTTGACTGCCTTATCCCTTGCTATGATTTCCATTTCATAAGTTTGAATGTCTTCGTAGTTCATCATTCCCTTCACTGTTATTTCACCAGTGGAAGGATTCAGGTTAAACGATCCTTGTGTTTTTTCTGAAGTGTACAGACTATATGTATATTCGATCTCGGCATTTGTCCCTTCATCTAAATCTCTGGCATTCAGCTTTATAACAAGAGATCCAACTGGAGAGTTTTCCATAATATTAACGTCAAAATGTTCTTTTTCGAAAGTTGGGGCGTTGTCATTCGTGTCTACCACACCAACAACAATACTGGCTGTGCCAGTGCGCGTGGGGATTCCACCATCCACAGCAGTGAGAATTAAATTGTGTACTGCTTGCTTTTCTCGGTCCAAACCCGTCTTTAATATTAAATCAGCAAATTTGGATCCGTCTCTTCCGGTTTGGATTTCTATGTCAAAGTGCTCACTTTCGCTCAGAAGGTATGTTTTGACTGAATTGGATCCTAGGTCTGGGTCAACAGCGTTATTAACGGAGAATCTCTCACCAGCTGCAGTGGATTCCATAATGTCTAAGTTTATAATATCTCGTCGAAAATGAGGAGCGTTGTCATTGATATCCATTATCTCAATTTCGATGTAAAATATTCTTTGCGGGTCCTCCACGATAGCCTCCATTTTTAGGTAACATGTCGTTGTCTTTATTGCACAGAGATACTCTCTGTCTATCCTCTCAACGATGTAAAGCTCCCCTGATTCTTTGTTCACATCCAGATATCGTTTGCTAGATATGATGTCTAACCGCATCTTCCGCCTGCTCAGAGTCTTCACGTCTAAACCTAAATCAGAAGCTAAATTGGCGACAACCGACCCTTCCTCCAATTCTTCGGGAATAGAATAATGAGTGACGGATATAACCGTGTTCACAAGAGTACCTATAAACAAAAGCGCAGACACATACCTCCTCCATGACTTCCTAGTGTTATGCATTGTCATTACACCGCTAATTAAATGTTCCTTTTCAGTGAGTCCATAAAGATGCAGCATGAAAAATATCCAAAGATAATACACCTTTAGGATGTTTATCAGAAAAAAAAACCTTGTATTAAGACACGTGAGCGCGGAATAAATCCATTAAACCCTGTTCAGCACCAGGACCTGTCCAACCTGCTTTTGTCCGGTCTGTCTCTGGATGAAACACTGTCATGGCGCCTGTATAATCACCGTTTAGGACATTAAACCGGGGAACAGCGACGCTAAAGTGCAAGACAATACTTCTGAGCATCATAGAAGGTATGCATGGAAGTAATAACAATATTGAATGAATGTAGAAAAAATGACAACGGTGTTTAAATTATAGATTTCATTGACTTCTGTATCAAGGTTGCTAGGGGTTTGTAGATGAGAAACACTGATCTTTACAGAGTTACCTGAATAACAACCACGATTCACGTTTCCTCCATATTATAACATTTTCACTGTCTGGGCACAGGAGGAAAGGGGCAAATAACTTCTGATTTGTGGGATTATTCATAAAGTATGGAGCATATATTGTGTATTTAATTGAACATGATTTAATTTACCTGCAGAGTGGAAGCCGCTGAGCCACTCGTGTC